CTGCGTGTCCCGTGACATCATCAATGACCCCTCACCCCCCCCCCATGGACTGTTCTCTGGGAAGAGGCTTCATTCAATGCAGGACCAGCGGGTTCTGCAGCAGAACCCTTTAGAACCTCTGAAGAACGACTCCATCTTTAACGAACCAACATTTTATTTGTGTTTTCAAACAAAGAATAAAAAGAACATTTTTCTGCTTAAGTTTAAACGCTGATAATCCATCAGAAGGTCCAAATGGACCCGGTTGGAGAACCCTGGCTTAGATGGTTCTGCTGCTCCGGCATCAGAGCCGCCGGTTGATGATGGATTCTGAGTCCAAGCTATCAGAACCGCTCATGTTGGACCTGTGATCAGACGGATCACTGAAGTTCTGATGAGTCGGTTTTCTTCACCAGCTGCTTTTCCCTTCGTTTGTTTCCCGTTTAGTCCACTTCCTCCGACCCACTTCCAGCTTCAGGCGCAGCCTCGATGGGTTCTGGATCTCTGGGAGACTCCGGCTGATCCAACGGTTCTGGCTGAGGCTCCTCCATGGGTTCCTCAGCTGGTTCTGGAGCCGGTGTGGGTTCCTCCGCATCCTTGGTCAGATCGTCCTGCAGAGAAGAAAACAGAGTGGAAAGAAACCGGACCCTCTAGAACCTGGGCGGGTTCTGGTCTCACAGGACGGTGGGACCAGAACCTGGGCGGGTTCTGGTCTGACCAGAGGCGGGTTCTGCCTGATCCACATCAGTCGGGCTTCTCTTCATCACCCCGTCTCACACAGAAGCTAAACCATCATCATCATCATCATCATCAGCCTGGCGGCGTTTCTGTCTGCTTAACAGCTGCTGCAGCAACTCCATTTCAGAGGCGGGGCTTACAGCTCTGACATCATCAAGTTAGAACCAATCAGGTAACTTCAGATGGAAAATCAGAGGGTGGTTCTGGTTATGCTAGCACACAAGCACTGCTGCATTATGGGTAATTCTGGAGCTGCAGCTTAAAGTCCCGCCCCCTGTACTGTGATTGGTCCAGCCTGATCTGGGCGGAGTAAACGGCGACTGGATGATTGATGAATTGACCCGGAGACGCCGATCAGTTCTGATCAGGACTAAAAACTCCCCAAACCTCAGATCCAGATCAACCAAAGCTGAACCTCAGCAGAACCGTCTCGGTTCTACAGACGGGCCAAACAGAACTTCCAGCTCGGACCGCAGAGATCTCAGCTTCTGGTCTCTGAGGTCGGACCTCAGGCCTGAAGGCTGACCTCGGGTCGGGTCCTACAGTCAGTTTGTAGACGGTCCGTTTTCTGGACAATCTGCAGAACCTACCTGGGAAACAGAGTCCAGAGTTCCATCCAGGCTCGTTGGCTCCGCCTCTTCCTGCTCCATGGGTTCCTCTTCCTCCTTTAGAAGAACCGCTTCCTGCTGATGGCGAGGATCCGGCTCGCCGGGCTCCATGACAGGAGTTTCTGGATTTGGAGCCGGTTCCGACTGGAACATTAGAAGAAATGAGCGAAGAGCAGAAACCTCCGGCTGCTTATCAGAGCGGGTCGGACAGAACCAACTCACCTCCTGCTCCAGGACGGCCTCCGCCGCCTTGGGTTCTGGTTTCTTATGGGCTTCCAGAACCGCCATGATGGAGGTCGGGATGTGAGCTTGCTGTTAGAGACAACAGGATGGTCAGGACCAGGAACAGCGCCAGGCGGGGGCAGCGGTCAGGTCCGAGTCTCACCTGATGCGGCGTGAAGGACAGGACGTGCTGCAGGAGCGGCGTCCTCATCTCGGGGCAACGCTCGAAGACGGCGCTCAGCTGCGGCGGCGGCAGCTGAAGCAACACGCTGTAGGACTGAGGCTTGGTCCTCTGGCAGCACTTCACGAAGCCCTCCCACACCTTGGGATACTTCCACACCTGTAGGACAGGAGGACACGCTTAGGACGAGCTGCGGGACGCCCTGAGGACGAGCTGCGGGACGCCCGGAGGACGAGCTAAGGGACGAGCTGCGGGACGCCCGGAGGACGAGCTGCGGGACGCCCGGAGGACGAGCTGCGGGACGCCCGGAGGACGAGCTGCGGGACGCCCGGAGGACGACCGGCGGGACGCCCGGAGGACGAGCTGCGGGACGCCCGGAGGACGACCTGCGGGACGCCCGGCGGGACGCCCGGCGGGACGTCTGGAGAAGGACTAGTGCCTGAAGAGACGATGCAGACCTGCTTGACGATGAGGCGGGACAGGATGTTCATGACGAAGCCGCCCAGGCGGGGGTACATGGTGAGGGACTGGATGACGGTGCGCATGAGCAGCATGGGGAGCGGACTGTGCTCCATCAGCTGCTGCATCACCACGGCCAGAACCTCTGAGGTGTAGACGTTCTTCTCAGCAAAGCACAGGTTGGTGGCTGAAAGCAGAAGGAAACATCTGGCTGAGATCTACAGCTGAGTTACTGAGAAACGCTGACATCTAGTGGTGACGCTTCAAACTGCAGCTTCTAGGTTCCCTTCTTCTCCTCAGTCAGAGTTCGGTTCTGACCTCTAAAAACTCTATGTTCCCTCTCCAGCTGGATCCTGCTTGGTGGTTCTGAGCAGGATCAGAACCCAGACCGATCTCTGGGGTCGGTTCTTAGCTGGGACCAGTGACGTCCAGTTGGGCTCAGCGGCGCCGCCCACTGGAGGAACACTGACCTTTGATGATGGACTTCATGTCACACTTGGTGGAGTCGATGTTGTGCAGAGCAATGAGCAGGTCTCCTGGAGTCAGAGGAGAAACCGAGGAGCTTCCCTCACCTGTGGAGAATCCATCAAGGAGCAGAGGACTTTAGTGGGGGGGTGGGGCAGCACAGGCTCCCCCTAGTGGCTGATTTTATTGATTGATTGAAGATTGATCTGATTAAAACTAAGATCACTGGCACCAATCTGAATATCATTGGTTTAGAAAAGCTTCAACATTTTGGAGGAATTAGAGGAAAAAGGACTGAGCTGGTTTACTGTTAGCGTTTCTAACATAGAAAGTGTTTATAGATCCGTGATTCTAGTTTGTGGGCCTCAGCATCATGGACTACCTGCTCAGTGACTGATTGCTTTAGAGTCAGTATCTCATCTCTGCAGCTGCTCATCAAGTAAAGTCAATGACTGGATGATCTGGTTGATCTGGATCTATAAAATGAGCTGAGATGAATCAGAGCTATAGAACCAGAGCGAGTAGAAGTGAAGAGGCGTCCTTACTGTGCTGAGTTCCCAGCAGTCTGTTGAAGACCTCCTTCACCACGATGGGGTTCAGCTTGATGAGTTTAGGCAGAGCCTGGATCACTTCACTCTGAGACAAACAGAACCAGTCCATCAGAACCAGAACCAGCAGCCGGACCCAGAAATCCACCGAACAGAACCTGACCTTCTCCAGCCCGTTGATGACCGGGATCAGGAAACGCACATCAGGAACCCGTTTATGGTAGAGGTCTCTGACCCGCTCCACCAGCTCCGGAGACGGAGGCACTGCAGACAGGAAGCACACAGAGGCCGGTCAGAACCAGTGATTGTCCTGCCGGGTCCGGGTCGGGTCGGGCCGGGTGGGTTCTACCTTTGTCGGTCAGAATGTGCAGACAGCGGGTCACCAGAGTCTCGGCTCCTTTGGGGCAGTTCTCCACCAGGAGCAGCAGCTCAGGAGAGTTCATGCCCATTCCTCGGATCTGCAAAGAGAACCAGAACACATCAACCCGCCGGGTCCCGTTCCACAGGAACCTGGACCGGACCGCCCCGACCACCACCAGAACCAATCAGAACCAGCAGGGGGAGCTCCAGCCGAGGCTCTCGCTCTGCTAGCTGCTCCATCTTCACCGACGGTGGTCAAACAAAACAAGGAACCAAACAGGAAACCCAGCATCATGGAACTGGGTCCAGAACCTTCACCTGGACCCCAGCATCATGGAACTGGGTCCAGAACCTTCACCTGGACCCCAGCATCATGGAACTGGGTCAGACTGGAGGTTCTGGGATAGAAACCGGACCGGCAGCGCCTCCTGGTGCTGGAATCTTCTAGAACTCACGGGCTGCTCGATGGCGCGGAGGACGCTGCGCTTGATGTCTGCGATGGCCTCGGTGTAGACGGACGCCAGCTCGTGGACCAGCCGGTGGTTCAGAGGGAGCAGGGACAGGTAGAGGAAGAGACACTGTCTCACCGTGTCCTCCGTCCACGGAGCCGCCACCTCTGCAGACACAATCACACGTCAGCTTCCTGCAGCCGCCCGGCGGGTCTGAGGACACGGAACAGAACCTGTGTCTTTGTCGGCTCCAAACAGCAGAGACGGCGGGTTTGGGTGAACGAGGAGCTGCAGGTAGTTCAGGGCAAACTTCTCAATGTAGTCCCTCAGGTGGTCCTTCTCATACATCCGCTTCAGGAAGGACAGGGCGGTGCTGCGGACCTGGAGGACAGACGCGGGACGGTTCAAAGACGGGACCAGGTCGGTTTAATGGAAGCGCCGCCAGCAGCCTCACCTTCTCCTTCTCATGTGAGCTCAGGTCCAGAAGAACATGGAGGTACTGGAACTGTCTGGACGGCCTCTTCACGATGAGCTCCTTCAGCGTCGTCATGCCCAGATAGACCCGCGACTGAGAGAGAGGTCAGAGGTCAGCGGACATCCTGGGGGACACCATGGAAGAGACGGCGTTCCGTTACCTCGTCCTCGCAGTACCGCCGAATCACGTCCAGCGCCGACTCGGTGATGATGGGCGCCTCCAGGACCAGCTTAGTGAAGAGTCTGGGAGAGAAACAGAGGTCAGAGTTCACCCAGGCAGTCCTCCACCCGACCACAGGGGGCAGCGTCCAGATAAGAGGAGCAAACAAAGAGGCTGAGGAAGGAAGGAGCAAAGGAAGGACAGAGGGGAGGCAGAGGAGGTGTGGTCCTCACCCGTCCCTCTGCTCGGGCTTCTCCTGCAGACCCGACAGCAGCGTGTAGAGGCAGTGGTCGTAGCTGTCCAGCAGGCCGGCGGGCAGCTGGCTCAGGTAGGTGTTGTACTCCTGGTAGAGCAGGGAGAAGGCCAGCTCGCTCCTGGTCCGGATGTCCTCCAGAACGTACTCCAGGACGTCCTCCTTCATCACGCCCTCGAACTGGGTCACCAGCCTGGAGAGGAGCTTCACTCGGACCTGCAGCAAAGAGCGACCGACATCCGTCCTGAAGGAGGCGCCATGGAAGGCCTGATTCTACAGCTGGCCATCCTAGAACTACATCAACCAGAAGCCCACCCGTCCCAGAGGTCCTTACGTGGGACATCCCGCTCTGCGTGATGGCCTTCTCCGACTGGAGGATCCGCTTCACCGCTTTGGACGACAGAAGCCCGATCTGGGAGTCCGACAAAGGCTGGACCACGTCGGCGAGTCGGAACACCTTCTTCCTCCCGACGGTACCGGTGCTCCTGCAGGAGAACCAGGAGGGTGAGCGAGGTTCTGGAGGAGAACCACGAGGGTGAGGGAGGTTCTGGGGGAGAACCAGGAGGGTGAGCGAGGTTCTGGAGGAGAACCACGAGGGTGAGG